CAATCAGACAAAAATCAAAATCGAGCAATTTGGGTGTTAAATTAATACATTAACTTTTAATACTTGAAATTATATACAAAAATGAAAACGTTTTGACTAACACAGTCTTCATTAGTTCATAAATCAATAATAAAAAAAATAATAATTTTTATTATTTTTAAATTGATGAAGACTTTATGTTAGTCGAAACGGTTTTTATTTTTGTATGTATGATTTTAAGTATTAAAAATTAATGTATTAATATTCAAATTGTTCGATTTTAATCGTTTTTATTTTGATATTTTTTCCATGCAGACTAATAAGCCCACTCTCTATTTTTTTTATTGATAATTAATAAGTAATAAAAAGTTATTTATTAAATATATATATAATACATATATATATCTCATTATTAATTACTTATGTGTAAATCTTTCGAAGCTTTCATTTATTTTGTAATCTATCATTAATTCAATTTATATAACTCGTTTTCTAATTTAATAATTTAACAGAAAATAATGTTTGTTAGAATGTTTATACAGGGTGGGCCATCTAACGTTTTCAATTTCAACTACCGATTACTTTGATTTTGGCAACACTTACATCATCCGTGTTATGAGAGAAAGTTAGTTTTATGTTTGACATTTACAAAATGAGTCGCTTTTCGCTTGAACAAAAGTGGGAAATATTGAAAACATATTTCCAAAATAGTGAGTCTTCTACTGAAACTGTAAGAAAATTACAAAAAATTTTTGGTAAACAAAACGTGCCTTCAAGTCAGTATGTGAATCAATTTGTGAAGCGAGTTCGTGAAACTGGATCGTTGTTGGATAAAACAACACGTTCTCGTGCTCCTACAGTGCGGACAGCTGAAAACATTGCCACTGTTGCTCAGAGTGTTAGTGAACAACCATCAGTCAATGGCGAGCGTTACCGCTCTATGTTAGCCAATTTTTTGTTTACCGAAATTGAAGATGATGACACAGATGACATTTGGTTTCAACAGGATGGCGCTACGAGCCACACAGCCAACGTTACAATCGATCTTTTGCGCGGTGTTTTCGAAAATCGAATAATCAGCCGAAATGCTGATGTCAATTGGCCGCCTAGAAGCTGTGACTTGACTCCATTGGATTATTTTTTGTGGGGTGCCGTTAAAGATAAATGTTACGCTAATCATCCAGAGACAATTGATGCCTTGAAACACGAGATTGAAGTTGCCATTCATGAAATTCAAGCTCATACAATCGAAAAAGTACTTCAAAATTGGGTTCATCGTATGGGCTACTGTAAGGCCAGTCGTGGAAGTCATTTAAATGAAATTGTGTTCCATTCTTAAATGTCAAAGTGCACTCTTTTGAATACAAAAAAAAATTTTTTTAAATACCAATGCGTTTTATTTTTACAGCTAAATGAAATTGAAAACGTTAGATGGCCCACCCTGTAGATCCTTTACATTACATGGAACTTTGATTGATATTTTATCTCAGAATTCTTCAAGTTCTACATCAGACATTGATAATAAGACTGTGTAAAGATTACAATTAGTCTTTCACAACTTGACAAAGTCATTACAATGTTCGTGTTTACGGTTATTTTTACTGTAATCGATTCCTCCTTGCTTCACGCTTCTTGATCAGGATCAGGTCGATATCAAGACGCGAAATCAGTAGAATGATACTAACAACGTATGTACACACGCGTGCGTTACAAAAATCAGACAGGCAAGCGTGTTGCAGAATACGAACGTCATTGCTTGCTCGCTCAAGCCTCAAGAAGAATTTGCCTTAGCGATAATTATGAGTCACACGCGAGAAACCCGCGGCACTAGCGGGAGATTTTGTAATGAGAGACATGGTCACTGTTAATAGCCCGTTCTCGCTGCCAGGTTGCACCGACGACAATAGTTGTTGCTTGCTGCAGTCAACCGCACTTCACATTCTCGCTGTAGAAGGTCCAGCAGGAGCAAGGATTTTTCTTGCGGTTTCCCGGAAGTCTTAGGATACGCGGAAGCGTGGTGCTCGCGCGACAATCTTGTCGGGACCGGAGAAAGGTCGAATTCCTTGCGGTTTGCCTTGGTAGATTAATTGGACAGATAATCTTCGAAAGTATCTAACTAATTTAACTTTACAAAATAATATAAATTTAATAAAAGTAAACATGAATTTTAACACTGTCGTATGTCTCTCTCAATTGTAAATTTCAATTTTATTATCTTATTTATATAATTTATGTATGAATGCACGTATATATACAAATTAATAAAACCAAAAGTAAATAATGTCAGAGGATAAATTAATCAAGTTTATTGTTCAGGTTATTTATTCAGATCGGTCAGGGGTTTTTTTTACAAGATTTTGCCTCTTGCCTTCGTAATTCATTCGGTAAGAGCGACTTTTGGTATTACGGATAAAAAAGGCGCGAGCGCATTACTTTCGGCGATCGACGTGTATGCACAAGGTAACGTAACAAACGACGGACCCGATCCTGTGTCGCGCTTACGTAAGATGCAGATCTTGATATAAGTGCGGTACGGTTGCAGTTTTCACCGGTCGGGTCGCCAGAAAGTGAGAGTCACAGTAATGGGATTTGTAAAGCCTTGTAATTTTTATAATCATATCAAAAAATTGATTACAGGGAAGGAGAGAGGCGAGAGAGAGAGAGAGAGAGAGAGAGAGAGAGAGAGAGAGAGAGGAGCTAAAAATTCGGAGAAACCTATAACAATCTTCACAAAATTGGAAAATGTATATAAAAATTTACGCAAATTTAAAATATCAGCTAAAATTCGTTTTGACCGAATAAGGTTTTTTTTCATCTATTTATGTCATGTATATATTAGTCAATTTTTATTTGTTATGATTTATAAAGTTGATAAAAAGGGATCAGAGAAGCCGATAAATAAAAGGTCGCTACAATCAGCCAAGTCAAGAATCGAAATAATAAAAAAATTCATATGATGCACACTATAGGTGCGTTCGGGGGGATGCTATTAGCGCTATTTCTGTTCTTGTTTTACGTCTAATAAACAACGAAGATGGAATGACAGAAGTAGCGCTAATAGCGTCTCTCCGAACGCACCAAATATCTTCTGTGATAGATACGTAAAAATTCATAATTTTTTTGTTTTACAATTAAAAAATGAATAAAATGTACGGAAGCGTATGTGGATCGATATCATATCATATTATGTTTAAGCGTGATTAATAATACTTACATAACATACAAAAATTTCTCGAGGAAAATTTTATAATAGTACAGTCCTTTCTTTTACATCAGGAACTGTTACTGTTCTTTCTTTATTCTCGTTTTTCTCCTACTTTAACGGTCTTTCTCCGCTCGAGCAGTATTCCTTTGTCTTTCGACGAGACGTGTAACGTCGGATACGCCGTTGCACTCTGTTGCAATGATGCAACTGCAACGACTTCACGCATTCTTCGCAAGGACTCCGAGAGCGGGGCGTGGTTGCGATCGACCGACAGACCGGCTTATCTTTCACGAGGAATCGCACGTATGCACGTGTACGCGCGCTTATTTTCGGCGTGATCTGTTTTTAGCCAAGAGAAAAATAATGTTACACACACTCGGCGAAATTGTGCCGCGTAACGAGGCACTTTAAAGTCGTAACCGAGAAGAGTGCACCTCGAAAAACAAGAAATGTTGACGTTTTATATGGAATTTTTTGGATGAGTTACATTACATTTCTCCGCGTAATAAAGGAACATGTGAAATTATAGAATATATCTTTTTGAATTTTTTTCAGTAATAAAGAATGACGTAAAATATAACTAAAAGCAACGTTTTTATGTTTTAGTAATAATAATTATATGAGAGAAGTTAATATTAAAAAATTAAATATATACATTATATTCGATATTAAATCACAATCTTTCCTAATATTAATATTTTTGATTATGTAAATGGCATTCAAATGAGAATATATAATATTTAATTTTTAGAGGAACGAAAAGCGAAGAAAATAATCGCATGCAATTCTGAAAGGAGAACAAGTCTATAGAACTGTATAATTATCGATAAATCAGTATATATATATAAACATGCAACGAGCAAGTTATACGAGTTACGGACGATGTTTTCAACCCCAGAACGAATCGAAACATATACATAAAACGCTGCTCGCAGCTTGCTAAGGTTTTCACTTGGGTTTTCATATAAAAAGAGATGACGCGACGTGACATCACCGTCCCAAAATTTGTAATCGCCCGTCAGTTCGTGCGGTGTCTCTCGAGAGCTTAGACGTAAAATGTAAAACGCATAACGTTTGCGCGCGTATTTTTCTCATAAATATTTTTCTACACAAACACCTGGCACTGAATCTGTGACGAATTTGTATCTCCATATTTAATATATAAACAATTAATACAGCTATTTCAATCGATCAGTTGACACGGTACAAATAAATCGTATTGATGACGACGATGGGAAGTTCCATGAAGTTGGCAGCAATCTCGCGATTCAATATTGAGATTCAAAATTAACAGTATATTCGACATGCCGATTAATATTTGATATCGAATATTAATATAACAATATTAGTATTAATATTAATAAACAATATTAATATTAATATTAGTAATAAATGTTTCAACGTTCCTTTTGATCACAGTTTACATTATCCGAATTAATATCGCGCACCGGGAAACTCCGGTGACGCGCGGGCGACATGCAAAACGATCAAGTGATCGCCGAAATTTTCTAATACGCCAGTCAGTTCGCGGTGATCATCCTCGGTGATTAATTAAATGAGTTGTACTGGAAGTCAATGGTGTTCGTCTCTCGCATTTTATTTGTAATTCCGCATATTCGGGAGTGCCAAATCTCTGTCTAGCGAAGACAGATGATTATCTTAAAGTGAGCCGGCACTGATTCACAATGTCGCGGCCGTTTAACGATCCTTGCTCCGTGTTGATATACCTACATACTTTCCATGTACTTCCGGCTTCATCGTCTTGGATCTTGTTTCCGCAATCGCGCCTGTCTCGTTTATCACACGTGCTGTCCACTACCGAGAGCAGCGTTGAGGAGCATTGTGAAGTATCGTGTTGGATGGATGAGAGTTAGGTACAGAAAGGAATCGTTTATTTATAGATTTTGTATCGCCCTTGTCCGCCATGATCACACTAGAGGTCTATCATGGTTCTTTCCACTCAATATTCGATTTCACTTGAGTGCAGATCAAATTTAAAACCCGGTTTTTCATTGCCCGGTTAATTGTGGTTTATTTAGACTTTACTTGATGATAATATAAATATTATGTTTTTCTAGCTATGATTAATTACTGAAGGTTTTGTAGTGGTACCTTTAAAACTTCATTATGAAACTATCAGTTTAGTAATTAATCATATCATAATCAGATAGAAAAATACAATTTTGTACATTCATCAGGTTATATAAAGGAATATTGGTTTATTTGCAAAGGTCTGTGCTCTCGTTCTAAGCCAACCAAGTTAATCAGCAAATGAAAAAAATCAATTAATTAACCTTAAGTATATTAGCTGTTTCTATTGGAAGTAGAGACCTTGTGGAGTAAAAGTGACACAATGAAATCAGTGAAGTAAATACATTCAAACGCATTACTATCGATTTAAATTTGATTCTATGCTGCATTGGGTACTTCGGTGGAAATTGAACTAGTGGTATTTAGGCTGTATTCCAAAATTTATTACCAGTACTGAAAATCTATAATGCACGTAAACTATAGCTTTTTAGTACTGGCAGTAAATTTTGAAACACAACCATAATCACTTCTTGAAATTTTGCAAGACCGATCAAGGACGCAAAATCAGCTGGCGAAATGTCACGGGAATCGATTCACGGCCAATAATGGCTGCATTCAGCAGAGAAAGCAGTTTTGCAACTGTTGTAAAATTCTTTAATATGATTGGTCTTGCCCTTAGTTCCTCACTGGATCTAAATATGTAAACCAATCATATCAAAGAATTTTAACAATTGCAAAGCTGCTTTTTCTGCTGAATGCAGCCAATGCAATTCGATCGTGTCGGATATCGATCCTTTTAATCATGTCGTCTTTTTGGGATGCGTTTCAAAACTTGACCCTGTCAACTCCGAGTATCTTTTATCAGTTTTATTCTTGTTCAACATTCGGTAAACAACAAGGATAAAATGATACTTGGATTGACAGAGTCGATGTTTTGGAACAATCTTGAGAACCTACGACTTTGCCGGAAAAATTTGCTCGTGAATACATTCAGGAACCGAGTACATGGGTAGTCGTTTTTAACGTTGATTCACGAGTTGTCGCACGTTATCGCGATTACGCGTGTTTTCTCGGAATTGATATCAATCGAGCGATATCTTGCAGCGCGTGTTGTGTGTTGTGTTTCGTGTTTCGCGATAATTCAGGAGTACGATTACATTTCGCAGGTGCATCGATAAAAACTGAAGATATATCGAGGACTATCGAAGGATCAGGGCCAGAAGTTGCTGTTCATTTGCTGTTCATTTCAGCAATCGGTGAGTGGTCTATTCGTTTGTACTCTCTTTAACTCAAAATATTTCTAGAATGCCAGAAAAACAAATATTTCTGACATTGATTGTTGTTTGATTGTCGTATTTGATGATTGTTTGAAAGCTAAAAATTTTCGCGGTAAATATAGATATTCATTAAAGGGTTATAAATTAACTAATCAAATTATTCATGCACTATTTATTTTAATTATTATTATAAATTCCAAATATATATATATTTTTTTCTTGAATTTTTTAAAAATAAGGAATAGTTACTGTTTAATTTTTATTAATTTTTATTATTATCACGTGCATGTAATTATAATAATACAAAAATAAACCTCGCGAAAATTACTGGTCTTTAGTCGAGTATTTTTTAGAGATTTTAATTTAAGGATTAATTGTTTCGTAAATATTTCTATTGATGAAGAAACGGAAATGTAAGATAAGTATAGAAAATGTGAAAGACGAGAGAGAGAGAAAGAAAGAATGTGCAATAAACCTTATTAAAGAATAATAGTATAATAAAAAGTTAAATTTCCTAAAATTATCAAAAGTTATTATTTTGAAAAGAAAGAAGGTATGAAAAATTGAGACGTTTATTTGCTAACTAAATGGATTAATATTCTCGTGACAATGCTAACAAACGCGCCAGTATATTCACGCAATAAAAATATATTCGCACAAATTAAGCTTACGAAAGAATGAATTATCGTCAACAGTTAAACACGGCAACAAGCGTTAAATATGCTCGATCAGCGTGGAAATATATGTTAGGCTTTAACATGGATCGCGTTGTCGGCGTTCGATCGAAAGTTACTGTTGCATAATGTCGGGAAAATTCAATTGAACGTCTCGCAAATGTGGCATTGCGTGCCTTAAGTATCGCCTGTGTCTTGCGACAAGTATTATGTGCGTCGTTCATTACGTTATACAGTAACGGGAAAATTATTACGATGGATTATTGCGAATCGGTATTGCTCTCAAATTCCTCTCTGCTGTGTAGCAATAATCTACGCGCGTGCGTTTTCGGAAATAAGACTGGTAATTATTCATAAAAGGCATTTCGTAATCATTCGTAATTATTCATAAAAATCGAGAGAGCTGTCTTTTGCGAACGAAATACGCCCCGGATAATTGCTTCGCGGATAATTGCTTGTACAGTTTGAAAAATATTACCGCAAAACGCGCATGCTGGGTATAAAGACCATGTTTTATTGTATCATTTAAATACAATAAGATATACATTTAATAAAATTAAATTGTTATATATTATTTAATAAATAATATACAGGGTGTCCCATTTTAATCCACCTCAAATAACTTTCTTATTTTTGATTTTAGAGAAAAATGTTTCAGACAAAAATTGTATGGTTTCGAGGAGGTCACAAGATGGTATCATTGGTTTGACCTTGGATAATCATTTGAAAATTACATGAAGGTCACCTTCAATTTCTTAAATGGAACATGCCATTTTTCATTACATATTCTCATAGCTTATCTCGAGAACTTTCCAAAACACTACAATAAAATATTTTTCTATTGCGTATTTTCCGAGTTATAAAGCTTTAAGTTTGCGGTATCCTTTCTAAAAAAAAGGAGATGTTAAATCGATACTCGAATGTATCGAAGTTTATTGTTGTCGCTTTTCCGCGATGCTGATTGGTTCTCTCGCTGCGTTTACTTCACGAGTATCTGTCATTGCCAAAATTGTGTGTTTTGACAGTTCCGTATTTGAAAACATCCTGCATAAATGTTAAAAGCTTA